AACGGAAGCATTAAAGCCTCTTTTTGTGGTTATAAATGTAAATTTAAAGGCCATGCACACCCATGGCAACAGTGTAGTGCAGTGCAATGAGCTTTGTTGCTACCATTTCTTTATGCAGAGTCTGGTGACCTCACTTACCTTCACCATGCTTGGCCAGTTACCGTCAGCATCGGTACACAGTGCCTTTAAAATGTGGTGCATTTATTAACAAATAAATACAGTGGAAATCCCTATTTACTGTTACGCCATTATATATAGAAAAGTCAAACATGATTACAAACACTGATTGCACTACTCAAAATTATGGGAATGCAAGTTCCATGGTAAGATGCATTTACTGGGCCACACAGGAAAAAAACTGGTTAAAATACCTTCAAACACCACTTAGAAGTTCACTCCTCGCTTTAATATGACACAGACACTTTCATGCATATGAAGCAAACCTCTGAAAATGACAGATTTATAAATAATTCGGTTAGAACAATGGAGGTGGTGAAAACTGCAACATTTCCTGCAACAAATATTTCAGTGTGTGACAGTTGGTCTGTTACAGTGGTGCTAGTGACGTACATCAGTGGCAGGTCACCTCCAGTGAAACACACAGGCAGTAACGTCTTTGTCTACTCACAGGCTGATGGTAGAGGAGCTGATGGGTGGCACATCTGTCAGGGAGGAGCATCCTGCAGTTTGTTTTCCACTTGCTGCTTGAGGTATTGCCGTGCAGTGACAAAGGGACGTCTAACAGCATCCATCACAAGACTGCTGTGTCTTTTACGCCCTGAGCAAACATCTGACAGTAGAGATAGCTTCTTCATGTCATACCATTTCTTATCAATATCTCATAACCTTTCAGTGCCTGTGGCTTTTTACAAAATGGATGGTATAAATGATGAATCTCCAGCACAAAGTTTGAAATGTTCCACCTCAACCTGAAAGCAAGATCAGTTGAGTCAGGGTGTCTCTTTGAATTTATTGGATGACAACACTAGGTACACACAATGTAGGTGAAGAGCTGAGGACCTTCATTACCAAAGACGTTGATAGTAATTCAATGTAAAACACTAATGAGGTGTGACTGTATCCTGCAGCACAGGCTCTCAAGTCACTACAACACTCATCCCAAGTGTCCTATTTTGAACAGGATAATGTCTAAACAGCTTTGAATGTCTGTTTGCTGCATGAGTAACATTGCCTTCTTGAACCCACATAACGTCAAAGTAAGTGCATTTTCAAAGTACCGAAAGCAGTCAGACAAAACTTTTTCAGTGGCTATAATAAAAGGGAATGCATTCCCATGGCCACCAGCAAAAACTCAAGGCACCGTTTTGTTAAAAGCACAAGTTTAAAAAGTCTATAAACATGCCTACATAGTTAAATGCACTGCCTTGTAAATTTTAACAAAGTGATGTGCCATCATTTATGGAGGAATTAATTTCATATCATTTGGACAATGTTTGCCAACACTATCAGGAGAACGCACTGTGTTATTGACGTCAGATCCTAAGTAGTCTCGTGTTTTATAGTTTGTTTAGCAACTCTTAATTTTCAATATTAGTTCCTTAAATATTTTTGTAAAAAGTTAAAAAAATATTATATATTTTTTATTGCCCAGGGAAAGGTTTGTTCTTTGTAGTCAACTCCTTACCAGACATCCAGCTACAGGTGTGAGACCGCTGCCTTGGTCTAATGCAAAGGTATCATCTAATCTATACACAACATACAGCTTTTCAGGTGGGAGGAGACAAGAGTAAACAAGAGATCCTTGTGAATATGGAGAGAACATGCATTTCTTCACACAGATCAGCATCTACTGAGAAACAGTAGGAACTACTTAATTACTCTGCCTGGTTAGTTCCTACTTTGTCACACTCATCTACCTATTAGACTTGATTTTTTCATTTTACACTTCACTATTTCTTGACCAGGATCTTTATATTGTGCAGTATATTTATACCAATTACCAAATGAGTTATAGACAAATGAACAGTAAAAAACAAACAGAACTGACTTTTGTCTTTACATTTTTTAATTCACCTTTTGTTACAAACAGGAAACACACAGGAGAACCTGTAAGAGAAACAAATGTAGGTCAGTGAACGCAGCTTGAAAAATAGAAAAGTGAAAGATAACAAAATGCATGCAGATGTTCAGTTTCTGCTGTTGTACCTGATTATGCTTTCTCCGCTGCTGCCTCCTCATCTCCACCCTTGGTGTTACGTGTATAAATCAGCTGTGCTCTGTGTTTGGACACGAGTTTGATCATGCCTGGAAGACAAAAAAGGCCCATGTTCCCCGTCAGCATATTGTCATTTTCAACCATACATTCACATTAATCTTGTCATGTGCTCACTTATTTTATAGTCAGCCTGCACTACACCTCAGACCAGTGGATGAGTGTCACAGAACATTGCCAGTTGAGTACAAATTATTTATCTTATGCAAAGGGAAACTTTGTTTTGGCTGTGCAGTTGGTTTAGCCATTGCATCTAAATCTGTAGGACCACTGACAGCAAAACTAAAATTAATTTAGTCAGTCATTATTACAGAGAATGTTCCATGTCATTACTGAAGACAACCTACCTACAAATGATGCTGCCTCACACGTGGAAGAAGTATTGTCTTTATATTTATTAGAATGAAGCTGCATAGTCTGGCGAAACCTTGATTGTGCTTCACATAGATTAATGCAGCTTAACATGTCTCTTACGTTAACAAAACAAGCTATGGGGGTTGCTAACTGCAAATGAGACAATGTCACCATGTTAATTTTTAATTGAAAGCTAAAAAAAAAAAAAAAAAAAAAAAAAAAAAAAAAAAATGTATCCAACACACAACTAATCATTTTTAACAGGTGACAGGTAAATACCTAAACTGTCTGCTGACATCTGGAGAGATACATGAAAATGTATTAAGATGTTTTAATGTCACTTTTGTACCCTTGCTTTCATCTAGCAATTTGTAATTTGAATACTTTCAAGGAGGGTCTAAATGATTTCAAAACAAATAATGTGGCAGCTATGACTAGTGATGTTTGCAGTTGTTATAATGCACATTATCCACACACAACACTGTCAATTTGGGAGAACTGAAAGAACCCCAAAAAAGGTATGCAGTGTGTAAGCATTTTTAAATGTTCCATATAGCCAACAAGCAGTGCTGAAGACTGTGGGGCACAGTGATGAGATTAATGTGGCAAAACATGTTATTGTTTTGTACAGTTGCAGCTAGAACAATCTCCACTCCTAATGCAAAAAACATGCATTAGGGTGTATGAGATTACTTGGAAGGTCAAAGAAAACAGTCAGTCCAGTTCTCATTTACAATGTCTAATTGACTTTCCCACAGGGCCACTTACTCAGGGTAATAAATAATTTATTGTAAACATATGCAGACACCTCATTTTTCTGCTCCTTTGACTAAAATCCTTCTCTTCACCAAAATAACTTTGCAGGGCATAAACTAACATATAGCCAGTCTGTTGGAACGCCTCAGAGACAAGCTTTGACATCACCCAGAATATTTACTTTTTTAAATTATGTTCAAACTTCTAAATAGGTGTAACCATCTGTAAGTTTTCTTAACTACATAATATTAACTATTCTTAAAATGTGGCAATAAGTTATTCAAATTTTACCTACACGAAAAAAGAGTACATAAAACCAGAAAATGTCAGGGGGTTTAAAGTACTAATCAGCATGCCAAACCTTCACCTCTCTGCCAGCCCCACTGTCATAGACTAGACTATTTCCTAACAATAAACCTCAACGCAAATCATTTGAGGTTAGGATGCAGCCCTTCTTTGTACGATCCAACATGCAAAATTTGGGTTATGAGCTGAAAAGGTGAGCTTCACCTTTGGCAAGCAGTTCCTGGAGGGCATTCCTGGCCAAGGAGCCACGGATCTTCAGCCTCTCTGACACAACAGCGGGGGTGATGAGTTTGTAGTTGGGAACTTCTTTGTACAGCTTGTCGTAGGTAGCCTTATCGAAGAGGACCAAGTTGTTGAGCTTGTCCCTCACTTTTCCCTTGGACCACTTCTGCTCGGAGTAAAATAATGATGGGTTCAGTTTTTTCAGTATGGGGAATCTCAGCAGTGCAGCGACTAGGACAATTATTCAGGATCCACATCAAATATGAAAGACAAACTCCTAGCCTACTTTAACCACTGCATACCTTCTTCTTGGCTTTGCCTCCAGACTTGTTGACTGGGTCCTTGTCCTTCTTGGACTTTCCAGTGTCCTTCTTCTTGTCTTGCTTGGGAGGCTGAAATCAATAGACAACAAGTTATAAACTGCACCCGAAATGGAGCTACACGTGGGTTCTGGCAGCGCGTTTCAATAAGAGCATAAAAGCAACATACTACGATGGTTCAACGGTAATAATGACAACATGTGCCTGGCTAGCGAACACAGCCAGCCGCCTGGTGTTCGGTCGGCTGGCCGGCATATGATGGCCTTGTCTGCGTCCTCTTGGAGCGTTCCAATCCTCACTATTAGCGTTGCTGATTAATGACGTCTGAACATTAATTATAAAGCGACAGCGTAATGTGTACATATAATCATATACTTAACATTTATGCAGAGTTATCACGGACAACTTCATTCGGCTCAATTTCTGTAACCACAGTGCAGCATGAAAGCGTGGTGGAATTAGCAAGCTAGCTAGCTAACTAGCCAGTGGCTAAATCAGTAAAATTTAACAGTAAACTACTTGATTCACATTCTTTTATCACGGCGCAGGAAAACACACTCCTTTCGTGTTTTGTTCCGAATAATCGGGACTCGGGTGGAGTTTCAGAAGAAAGAGCAATTTCAATTTTATTTCGACAAAACGTGTAATAACTGTCCTCACCATGTTTCCTCGTCAAGATGTCGGAGCGAAAGGAAGTTCACCCGTGCAAGAGCCCCTTAGACAACCTGTATATGCGGAAATGGGGTGAGGAATTATGGGAACTTGAGTTTTCTCGTGTTTTATCGTTCTTTTCTTGATTTTGACTATTAATACCGGTTGACCAGACTGTTGTACAGAAGTTATACCAGTACATAAATCATCAAATAGTCAAACGGATAAGTAAGAGCTAATTTAAAGTTCTACAGTCTTTTTACACCGTTGAGGTCACATGACAGTGTTGTCAGCTGGGTAGGACGTTGCAAAGATGGTGATCTTCAGTGTGTATGTGGTGAACAAGGCTGGAGGTTTAATTTACCAATATGACAACTATGTCCCAAGAGCGGAGGCCGAGAAAACATTTAGCTATCCTTTAGATCTGGTGCTCAAACATCACGATGAAAAGGTCGTCGTGTCGTTCGGACAACGAGACGGAATCAGAGGTAACGCCTGAAACCTAACATTCGCAAGTTGTTAGCTCATTCAACCTGCTAGCTACTGTGTACAAAAGACTGTAGAATACCGCAAATGCGGTTAAAAAAAAGGCGAAAAATTAAATGAATTACTGGACCATTTTTCTGTGCTAAGTGTTTATGGCATTTATCTTCATGATCTGTGTATGATAGAAGTTCTGTTGTCGTTCTCCAGTGGGCCATGCAGTGCTGTCCATCAATGGAGTTGATGTGATAGGAAAGAACACAGCGGAGGGAAAGGACATACTGGAATACTTGAAAGATTCCTCAAATTATCCAGTGTCTATTCGATTTGGACGGGCACGCCTGAGCTCCAATGAAAAGCTGATGCTGGCGTCCATGTTCCACTCGTAAGTTATATCTATAGTTTCATATTTCATATTCACACTGGGGCTGTAGGGTAGTGTGGCGGAGCCACATTCAAGTCACAGTTTTGACAAGCATCCATTCTGCTGAATTGCGACAGAGAAAGACACTGAATACAGCAGCGATGACCTCCAGGGATCTACCCTGTTAGAAAGTGAATAAGAAAGAGGCTTGAGTCTACTGTGTCTGAAGATCAGCTCCCTTGTCCTTTGTGTTTTTTCCTTAGGTTGTTTGCTATAGGTTCACAGCTGTCTCCTGAAGTTGGCAGTTCAGGGATCGAGATGCTAGAAACAGACGTCTTCAAACTCCACTGCTTCCAGACTCTCACAGGTGAGTTGTGTAAACAAAGTGTCATTGTGGGTGAATAGAAGAAAGAAGTTTTTTGCTAACTTTGTATTGATATGTTACTGATGTTTTTAATTGACATCTTTCTCACTGTTCTGTCTCGGTTCTATCAGGGATAAAGTTCATTGTGCTCGCAGACCCTCGACAATCTGGCATTGATGCACTGTTGAGGAAGATTTATGAAATCTATTCAGATTTTGCCCTCAAGAACCCATTCTATTCTCTGGAAATGCCAATCAGGTAACAGGCACATTTCAGGAGAGGATGATTTACATCCTTACATTTCAGTTTACATGTCAAGTATCCAAGGTCTAACACCCACACATCCCATTGTTTGTGTCCTCTAATGTCACTGTAAATGTGTGTGGTTTTCAGGTGTGAACTCTTTGATCAGAATCTGAAGAGTGCATTGGAAATAGCAGAGAAAGCTGGAAACTTTGGAGCTGGATCATGAACCAGAGAGGACTAAAGAGACAACATGAATTTGCCTTTTCTGATCACAGGAGATGTAATGAACTTCTATGACTGAGGATGTTGGTGAGAGAAGTGAAGCTGATTTTCTTTGCTTCTTTGGACTGGAATTTGACACATGTAAATATATAATGTTCTGTAAATACTTAAAGATTAAACTCATGTGTGTTAATAATTCATATTGTTTGTTTTTAGTTGCATGTATATTGAATTTCTGTGTGATCTAACTGTAGTGTGCTCAGCATTAACTATGAAAATTACAAAAAAAAACATAACATCATTTAATCAAGCCTTTGACTGTTCCCATAATAAAGACCAAACATTGTCCTTCCCTTAAAATAGATAAGCATTGTATAGGTCTTGTAATTCCATTCATGATTCATTATTACATTATTAAAAATGCAAATATTGTATAATATACCAGTTTCTAAACCAGGTTCCAATTTTTTGGTTCCACTTTTGTCCTCTTGTCACTGTAATGCCTTGGTGGTCTTAGGAGAGAAAATCTTTTCTCTAGTTGTGATTTTGTCACATTCCATTGTATTACATCCATAATGTGTAGTCACTTATATTCCCTTGTTGCATTACGCATGCAGTGTTTACAGACTGTATGTCGAGAAGCACCTTACAAAACAGGTGTTTGAAGCAAAAGATGCTCAACTTCTATGAGCTTCCTTAAAACCTGTGCTGTATGACTGAAAAAATACTGTGGTATAAAAAAAACCCAAAAACAAGTAAGAAAAATATGACAATACAGCAATGCCTCAAAATATTCAGTTTTCCCCTGGATGCAGAGGATGAGGTGTCATGATGTTTTAGTCTGCCTTCTTGGACATGTGACCCATCTTGGTTCGGATGTTACGCAGCAGGAAGAATCCAACAGCGGTGATGCCACAGACGATCTCTGCTACCCAGAAGGCTGTAGCCCAGCCGTGGTGCTTGGCAATTGTGCTGAATGGAAGTCCGGACAGGAAACCACCAACTGAGGACAACACAAGTGGATATGCTCACTCCATGATGGTAGAAAAGGTGTAGTGCATACAATTCCCACAGTTATTCAAGTCTGAATTGACTAACCCAAAGTCAGTATCCTGTGGATAGCTGTGTACTATCTTACAATATATAGACCAAGTAAAAAGTATCACAAGGAAACTATTGGTATGTAATTGTATTATCAATGTACAGGCATTTAACAGTTTGCAAGAGCTTGTACATGCTCCATATGTATAGCCATCCTGAAAACCAATCAACTTACTGTTGGCCATCAGGGCAACAATGGCGTGTGATGTCCCACAGTAGTTGGATGGGGCACTCTCATTGGCTATAACTCCAAACAATGCTATTGGTCCGTAAGAGGAGAAACCAAAAGCAGCACCCAAGCTGAGTATCCACACCTGAATGAGAGATACACGCATGAGGATGAAAAAGTGACATGCAGTGTGCTGTATTAAAAAATATCTCTATGATTCACTTGTTCGCTGGGACGTCAGTATTCGATACCTTTGAGCTGTCGGGGGTAACTGTGACTCTGAACAGGTACATGGACACAAACATTCCTGCCATCATGCAGATCAGGATGAAGTGGCGAGGATTGCCATAGATTCTCATGCCTTGCTGTTCAAAATAAAGAAATATATAAATACATTGGTTTTGCTGGCTATAAGAAAAATCATATGAAAAATCTACTTTAGTTATGGACTAAAAAATTGGATGCCACAGTTTGTTTATTGTTGCATGAAATGAAGATGAAAAAGTATAGAAAGGTTAGAGAGTATTTTTTAGTCTCTAGTGAAATCTGAGACCTGGAAGGTCAAATTCAATATTACCCTCTGTGACTGGGTGACCATGAACATGTCCCCCTTTTCCCAAGATGCACTTTCCCTCTGTGCTAATCATGAACAAATATATGACCTAAGAGGAGCTGTTGCTTGACTTGGATCTTACAAGAAGTCCCTAGAAAACGGAAGCAAAGGCTATCCATTCTTGTTAGTTACTTCCTTTGTATAGATGCTGCCTCCATCAAAGTTATGGTTATTGGTAATCGTCCTACAAAATGTAGCTCCTTCGTTATATTTGTGAATTTGTGGTAATCCATTCTGGCCAAATGGTACAGGCACTTCTGATGCACATAGCTGATTGTGGCAAATTTGCAGAAAGAAGATGTCTGGATATGTGCACCAGACTTTATTTTCCACAAGACAAAAGCAACTGAATGATAAATAAATAAATAAATAAATAAATATGTGTAGGCTGAGGAAGGATGTGTACTATATGCAAACTCACTCTGGCCACAGCCTTGTCAGAGAGGTAACCTGCTGCGAGACTTCCCAACAGGCCTCCAACCTCCAGGGCACTCATGTATGAGCTACCTATGAAGAAGAATATAGTGATTCACAACAAATAATAAGCTATTTCTTCAACAGAAAAGGGAGGTATCTACTCTATTCCTCTGTCATACCCATGAGTGTAGACTGGCCCTTGTCCTGAATGAGAAACAGCTGGCCCCAGTCGGTACAGGCCGTCTTCACCCCGAACACCACCAGGTAGGACACAGACAGCAGCCACAGGTAAGGTGACAGCAGAAACTCGGACAGGGTGCTTTCATTACTGGAGGATCCTGAACAGGAAACGGGCAGAAGACCAACTATTATCACCAATCCGAATGCATTTGAAACATTACCATCAACACTACATAACAGGTGTGACATAATATCGCTGTGGCTCTACTTCCAACCAGATTAATGCATAAAACATCTCTTCACCGCTACTTTCTCTCTTCGCTGGTGCATGAGCTAGACACAGCTCACACAAGTGGCATGCGAGGGGCACACTGGGTACAGAGTCCACCAAGTCACCGACCTTTAGTCACAACACAAGAGGCGCATGCTGTACGAAAACACACACATCTGGACACCGCACAGTTGTGTGTTAACTGAGTATTGACTATATTCAAGCAAGTATACCGTGCCCGATTCAGTCACTGTCTGATAAGAGTAGTGGCTAAAACTCTGGTTGTTTATCAAACTGAAGAATTATTAGAAATCATTCAGTAAAAGTCAGTCTCACCTCCTTTGCTCTTCTTGGTTGCTGCTTCTATATTGGGCAGCCCCACATCCTTCGGCTCATTCTTGATGACCAGCAGACAGACAAAGGAGACCACCACACAAATCACTCCAGAGACCGACAGTATCGTCCTCCAGCTGTAACTCTCAGCCAGCACTGTGGCAATAATGGGGCCCAAGCTGCCAGCCAGATTCATGCTGCAGGACAGAATTGCCCACCATGTCCCGAACTGAGAGGGCTCAAACCACTGACAGCAGACAAGAGGAAATAATGACATGAAATGGTTAAATTAGTGACAGGTAGTGTCATTACCTTCCCTTTGATATACAGGAGGGATAAAATAATCAAACCAGTGCAGTGTTTCCTACAGAATTTGATTCTTTTTGTTGTGGCAGCTGATGGGGGTCAGAATTAGATATCAGTACACTGCAGTATGATTTACTGGCATGTGGCTCAGGTACCTTGCGCAGCACCCTGCCACAGGGAGGCCAGCCAAGGCCCTGGCCAAGGCCGTTGAGAAACCACAAGGCAGAGAAAACAGCAACAGTGGAGGACCAGGAAAAGACCACATTGATGCCTCCCACCATGAACAGGCCAATGGAGAAGAGCCAACGGGCGCTGATCTGGTCTGAAAGCACGCCGCTGATGAACTTACTGATAGCGTAGGCCAAAGACTGACTGCTGGTGATCATGCCTGAACAAAGAGAGGACAGGAGAAGAGGACTGTACACAGAGCAACATTTTGGTCCAAAATATTGCAGACATACAGTTCTCTGTAAAGCACCCATATAATATGTAATGCATGATAGAAACATACCAGTAATCTAGAGTCTACAAAGAAAAAATGAAATATGTATGAGCATGTTTGGAAGTTAGTGAGAGGCTTATAAATGTTGACATTTTAGGGGTAAATAATACATCCACCTTTGGATTTTTCCATTCCTCAAGTTTTTAAAAAATGCAACACTATGACTTTTAGAAGAAGGCATATGGTTTATTTAAAAATGCTACTCATGCAACTGTAACAATCAAACATAAAGTCAATGCAAAACCAAGTGTCTCATACCCAGGTCATCCTTATCCAGCTCAATTTCTTGCATCAGAGAAGGCATCACGAAGGAGAAAGTCTTTCTGTTAAAATAGTACAGCGTGTAGCCTACAAACATGGCCAGAAATATAGTTCCTCTGTAGTATCCGTAATTCGCTGTAGCCATGATTGCAGGTTGCAGATAGTCCTACAAAAAACTGAGAGAAATATAAGTTGATCCGTCTGACAGACTCCTGCAGCTTGTGACAGTGAACTTTGCCTCAGGATCCACTGTGCAGAAGCAGCTGCTTACAAGTGAAGAGGTGTCTGCAATCAGGAGGGGAGGTTAATGGTCAACTTCTCTGCCCCAAAGCTGCATAAATCTGATAAAGTGCTGCAGGCCAACAAGAAAAGGCCTGGGAAAGGACTTCAATCAGTTGGTGACATCAACCCTGTATATGATTAGTTGTTTCCTTTAGGCACTGATTTAAAAAAAACAAAAAACAAAAGAGGGGGGGCCCTTCTTCTTGATCCGTGACCTCAGTGTTCTTTTCCTGTGCTACTGTTTGTCCATCTGAGGATGTTATGGAAGGAGTATTCAGACTGATGGGGTTAATGATTCACTGCGGAGTCCAATAGTTACTGCAGACCAGGGGGAGGCTCCTCTCCAAGTGAGAGGGTGTGTGAACTGTGATGATCCTATGTGAATGAAGTTCAAGTAAAGCTAAAACATTTTATGTATAATAGATCATTCTTTACAGTGGGTAGTACAGTGTATAAAATCCGAAGTGTGCTCTGATAATTCCTCAAAAGCAGTCTTTAGTGGGAGCAAAGCGGGTACCTCTGTATGTCCACCTCCTCCTCTCTGTGCATGATGGTTTATCCGTCTGACTTCTTTTGGCGTGTTGGACTTTTTCGCTAAATAACCATCTTTTCATTGTCGAGCAGCTCGTGATGTGGACCTGCGGAGAAGTGTAGTATGTGAAGTTTCCGCATCACGTGGATTAACTGGCACCGCCCAGCCAAGAAACACGACCGCGTGTTTCACCAGCAGTGATGTTATTAATCATAACCGCTGTTAAAAAAAAAAAAAGGTGGGGGGGCAAATGATGGAAAGTGTTGCATGTGAAATTATATTGGGGAGGTTGAACTGGAAAAATGATACGGTTAAAGAAAAAGCTTTAGTGGGTAAATTTCTAATTTAAAAAAAGCAACAACAGTAGCGCCTCCTCCTCACATATGTTCCCATGGCAACCGACAACAAACAATTGCAATTTTCCAAACACGGATGGTAAATTGTAGCCACGTTTATGAGCAGGAGTAAGGTAGCTACATTCATAACAAAACACTTAGCTTGCATTATAAGTCTTTGAGACAACAAGCTAGGCTGTTTTAGGCTAATTCATCACCGTCGACTCCAATAACCGAGAACCATGGTAAGTTTGAGGTCAAAATAAGAAGTAATGTCATACCCTGTAATATCACTTTTCATATAGCTGCTAAATTCTTGTTTTCCTTGTAGCTAATAGAGAACGACTGTGTATTCAGACTTGTGGTCACGTTTTAACCCTGCAGAGACTAGCATCCAGCTCCATGATCTCAAAGGGAAGCTCTGATAACCGCCGGTACCGCACTCGGGCCCCAACCTCTCAGGTGGACGAAACCCTGTTTGGGAACCCAAAACCGGTGAGTGAGTGTGCCATATATTGTGTTGTATTACATAGTGGCCTACCGTAGATAATGAAATGGAAGTTGTCTGTGTGTTTTTGTTTACATTTCTAATGGTATTACCAGTGCACCTGGGTTTATAGCACCAGTTTCGTGTGTACAATGCATCTTGTTTCAAAAATCTGTCATGGTGTGTTATGTGTGTATGTTGCAAGGTTGGAGAGAGATAATAAGATATGAGTGGGTTTGTGAGATGTTGCTAACTATCTGTTCAGATATCACCAGACAAATCTGGCAACTCAACCTTCAAGGCCAAGGATAAGTTCCAGAAGAACCAAGGAGAGACCGTCCAAATCATCACAAAAGACCTAATTCGCAATCTCAGGTAGGCTAACACTCACTGAAAACTCCAAAGATCGCCCATCAGTGTGACTGTGGTGCTTGCAGTACAGCAGAACTGAGACCCCACATGAACATTTAACAAACAATCCCACCACCTGTCATTTTGTCAGGGTTCCATGGAAGGATCCTTCAGGAGAATCCATCATTCTTCCACCAGCTGAATTTAAGCGGATCACCTCAACTTCCCGGGTTCTCACCAAGGAGGAGAGGGTAGCCTTGCACGAGGCTTATCAGAGGAAGAAAGAAGAAGAAATTGTAGGAAACACGAAAACTCCAGTAAACTTATCATTTAACTTGCAGATAAAGAATAAGACAATAAGCCAGTAACACATTTTTTTAATATACCCCTCATCCAGAAAGCTGCAGAAGAAAGAAAGCGCCAAATCTATGAGGCAGACCTGTCCCGCAAGGAGAACCATGCACTGACTGAGCTTGAGCTAGAGGCCCGGGACCGTGCACAGCGCTTGGTGGAGCGGGCCAACGCCTTGAGGTTGGAGCAAGAGGAAGAGATCAAAAAGCTCAACCAGGTAGACCATGAAAATTTGCCTGAATGTGAAACCCTTAATCACTGGCAGACAGCTGATTTTTTTGTATGAACAAAGTGTATTGAACATCAGTACCTCTGTGTGTGTGTGTGGGGTCCACTCAGCTGATTCTGGGTGCTCAGTGCCAAGCCACTCGTGACGCCCAGATTCAGGAGAAGAAACAGATACAGGTGGAGTTGACAGAAGAGGAGAAGCGTCTGGATACCATGATGGAGGTGGAGCGGCGCAAGGCCTTGGAGACTGTGGAGCAGATTGAGGAGCTGCGCAAAAAGCAGAGGATCAGGTAATGGGGCCTCTGTTGAGAAGAAATGTATTTGACCTAACTAAACCACTTACATCCTTGTCATAAGACCCCTTTTCTAATCATAGGCTACTGGTGAGCAGCAAAGGCAAAGGGTTCCTAGTTTAGTGTTGTTATTGTGTGTGTGTTGTGCTTGTGTTATATTCTAGTGGAATGCAGCAAATTTACGACCAAATCAAGAAACGTCTTGAGGAGAAGCAACTGCAGGACGAGATGAAAGAGCTGGAGAGACAGCAGATACGAGAGAACCAGGAGAAAATGACCCTGGAAGACCTCAAGGTGCGGAGGCAAAGAGAATACACAGCCCACGCTGCTCCGAGGGATATGCAACCATATACACAATACACTCGCACTGAAGTCTGTTTCTTCTCTGAATGGTTGTTTACTTCCAGACCCTGGAGAAGAAGAAGGAGGAGCAGCAGCGTCTGCATGAGGAGGTCTTACGAATCAACGCTGAGACCATGCAAGCCAAGGAGCAGAGGAGAGAGGAGGAGAAGATGGCGGACAAGAGAGACATGGAATTCATTAAAAAAAAAATGGTCAGATGAAAGACGTGTCATCTCCATAGGCATAAAAAACAATTAGACAAACTCATAACACAGGGAAAGTTCAGTGACTTTGTAGTTAAGTTAAACTGTCAGTATTCACATGGCCACATTTTTTATTTATTTCATCATTATAATACTGCTGTACCTTTGCAAGTGGGTCGTTTTATCTTTTTTTTTTTTAATATTGACATTCATGACTTCTGCAGGAGCGTGAGGCAGAATATGAAGCAGAGCAGAGACGAATCAAGAAGGAGAAAGAGTTGGAGATTGCCAGGCTGAGGGCCCGCCAAGAGAAAGCAAAAGACTACAAGGCAGAACAGGTCAGGAATAAAACCATCAGGTGGCTTTGAAAAGCCATAAATGTGGTATCTGCTCATTTTAACCCTATTACAAATTAAAATACTGTGATCACAGTTTCAAAGGCAAATAACCCCATACAGTTTGTTGGGAATTAAAGCATTCTGCTTGTTGTAATCTTGTGTTTCTGTGCGTTTTGAAGGATGACCTCCGAGCCCGGAGGAACCAAGAAATTATGGACAGAGAATGGAGGAGAAAAGAGAAAGAGATGGCTGTAAAGAAATCAAAAGAAGAAGCGATGTTAAGGGCGGCTCGCTTGGAGCAGGTTCACTGCAAAGAGCATTTCCTGTCAATCGAGGCTGGCCGAGAGAAAGCTGAATTTGAGAGGGTGCTGAAGTAAGAAACTTGATTTGACTTTTTTCGGAAAAAAAAAAAATCATGTTTTCAGTTATTTGTATTATTTTACACATTCAGGTATACCATTTTATTAATATTAATTTTTCCTGCCACCACTACCTTTCTCTAAAGAGTGCAACAGGAGGCAATAGCCAAACAGATGGAGGAGGAGGAGAAGCAGCATCAGAAAGCTCAGCGTCACTCACTGGCCATCCGACACCAAGTGAAGGAACGTGAGCTCTCAGCCATTGCCCAGCGCAGAGAGATCTTCAAAGAAGCCGATCGGCTGATCGAAGAAGCCCGACAAAGACGTATGCGCCTCGACGACATCAAGGAGAAGAAGCTGAAGGAGCTCAAGTAAGTAGGGGCGGGTTAATAGACCTTTCTTGGGGCTAATATTTTGACATGATTGTCATATAAGGAAATGCAAGATCACCATATTGTGAATGTATCTTAAATGTATAAAACTGACATGTTTTTGTCAATGTGCAGGGCTACAGGACTCTCTGAAAAATACTGCAGTGAAGTCGAAAGGAAGGCGAGGGACTGCTCGGAGTCTCTCTGAATCATTCACAGGATTTAAATGTTGTGAGGTCCTCATCTGATACTCCACATTTTTCAGGGTCTCCATAAAACACATTTGAAGTACTAATGTAAAATCTACCAATCTAGGTTTCTGTTGAAATTTCACTGTTTTATAGGGTTTCGATTATTGTATGTACGTTTTAGTAGTCTATGGTATGGCTCTTTGTGTCTAATCACTGTGTGCAAAAACAATTCAACAAAATAAAATTAATTTTTCTGATATTTTCACTCCCTCATACAAACTGACTCCACAGAAGACCGGGTACAATTTTTAAGTTTTATTTAGTCTAGTATTTCCCTTTCAGTTATGTCATATTCTTCCACTTATCAATGACTGATCCCCTTTATTATTAATATGCATGACAACAGAAAGGAATTCAACTTATGTTAGGGTTAAGATGACACTTTACACACACAGCTTAAAGCATGTAATGAAGTTAAGTACATCAAGGTAAATACAGGCTCTTATTTCAGACCATTCTTAACAAAGAACTGGATGTACTGAGATCTAATTTTCTTCATCATAACCATCTAAACACACAACCTACAGGAGTGTTCATGGATCTAATCGAGCTGTCATTAGGACAACAATGATTCCACCAGCCTGTCTTCTTCTGCCTCCTTGTTTGTTCTTGCTGCTAAGCATTAACACAGGAGGAATCAGGACAGGGGAGTGGGTGGAGGACAGATGGGTGGGGGGTCTCCATCTAAAAGTTTTCAATTCGTCATGTTCACATCTGTACACGCCAAAAAAACGTAATGGTGACCAAGGGAAACACCACAACACCTGGCATACACGGACCTCAGCACGAGGAGGGTTCAGAGTAAATACACACACACGGTACGGTTAAGGGTTAAGGGCCCTGGGGTCTGGTAGCCGTGGTCCCGTCCTTGCACATACACAGATACAGTCTCACACAAGCACTGTACACGGCACAAGAGGTCACCTAAATACATGGAGCCAATGAAGGAGAGCTAACATCTAAGAGGGTGGATTGGATAGCCCAGTACAGGCTGAGAGGGGGTTAAAATTCTTTAGACCATCAGGTCACACTCTATCTCACACTCACTCTCTCTCTCTCTCTCTCTCTCTCACACACACACACACAAACACACACGCACACACCCTCATTCACACAGTGACATACGTCTGTATGCATTTAAAACTCCATAAAGCTACACGCCTGTGCAGAATATACTATCATTACTTAGTGTTGCTAGCTATAGCCATTTAAATGGCAATATATGTTCAAATATTATATGTAACCGTTTTTTCCTCAATATACAATGATGAAATGCATTATACAGACAAACGAGACAATGTAAGCTGTTCACATGTTCAGTACATCAAAAGTAAGAGCTTCTCTACATTAATTTCTTCACGAGTGCAAAATCCAATGCTCCTCCACCTACTTCAAAGGTTCATTGCTGAGCTTTAGCAAGTCCACTTCTGCACAAACCATAAACCAATAAAAAACATGACATTAACATAAACACAAAAAAATTCTAAATAAGTAGTCATAAATATGGAATGTGAAAAACAAAGAAACATGTGGTCCAATTTCTTTTCAAACAATACAAATAAAAGTCCTTCAATGCAGTTAAATGTTTTCTCTTGTAACAGGACAACATAATAAAAAAATAGTACTCAAAACCAGAGTGGGCTGTTGCTTGCTTGTGGCCCCTGTTGTGAGTAGAAGACCATGGGAAGCTGGTGAGGAACACAAAGAGAGAAGGACAGATGGAAGGAAGGTGTTGGGTCAAGTTGTGAAGGGGGCTGATGGGTGTTCACATGCCGTAACCAAAGCTGGGCTGTGGCGGCTGGGTGTAGCCTGGTGCTGCTGTGTAGCCATAACCGTAGGCCTGCTGGGGAGGCACAGCCACGTTGGGCCCGGCTGTGAGCATAAGCTGGGGGGTGCCTGTAACAGAAATTTCAAAATAACCTGTCAAAAATATTCTCATTATACAAACGCAATGATGGTGGTGTGTGTATGGTCTTTTTACCGTAAACAATGGGTTGAGACTCTGTAGCCTGCTCCTCCTGTTTCCTCAGGGACTCGGAGGCCTCGAGTTTGTCCACCTGTGGAAAAAACAACAACAGTGACTTTGTCAGACATCAGTTACACAGCACGCGATAGGGCTCTTAAAGAGCAAGGGCTGAGACGCCGCGTTTGTAAAAACTGACCTCTGGGTTATTTCACTGGCTGACGGATGGGACCATTCCTGACAGGCGAAGATGAATACAGTCCAGATTTAAATAAAATCAGGCTGCAGGAGGCAGGCCTTGCTAATGTGTTGTAGGCCCTCTATAAGGCAAAATGAGTAACTACAACTAGAGAGCTACTGGCTACTCTATCAAGCTTTGCTACAACAGTCTACATAGACATCCACTTAATTGTAGAAAGTATTAAGGATTAGGAGGGGAGACAAAAACAAACAGCTACTGGGTAATAATGGTCCCACCATCCAGCCACCTAAATTATCTACTCTAACATGTTGGAAATGTAGAGTATGTAGAGAACCAACCTCTCACCAGGACAAATACACTGAACTAAGACCAACATTAATGTTTTTCACCCATTAGTTCGTCCATCCCTTAACAGATAATCAAAACACTCGGTACACTTTGTATTTAAGTTGTTGGACAGAGAAGCAGACGAAGACACAAATTAGCTTGATTAGCTTTGGTTGCAATCAGGATTTGGCATTTCTGTAAGTAATAATTCAATATTTTTTTAATTTTGTGATGATAACAGAGGGGAGGACTTGATTCTGTAAGAGTGATCTCTTAAAGTTGACTTGGTACCAACATGGCAGAGTAACAACATACAGTTATAAAGTAAAACTTGAGGCTTGTCATTGCCTGTGTGCGAACAGCTATGAGAAGCATTTAGCAGCCTTGAGAATCAAATTAAAACTGCCCGTTTTTTCTTTGGTGCTTTAAGTGTTTGTTAAGCAGCTCAGAGGCAGATAGTGATGAGAAAGGACAAAAGATAGAGCTAAAAACAATTCAAAGAATTAAGCAGCCAGCGAAAAGCTTCAGATATTACCCTCAGCTATGACAGTTTGCAGCTTAAATACTGATGAAGTCAGTTAAGGACAATGCTAAATGATGCAACAGAATAGCTTTCCTCTTAAGTTGGTTTTGGGTTCAGTTCTCTACATACTGTCTGGTTTCCTATTACAGTCAGTCAGTCTGGTTAAGCAGGCTGTTTCAAGAAAAGACAGGCTGTTGTTTGGTTTGAGAAGAGAAGGGTTGAGAGACATGCTGAAGCGGCAGTTTAGTCATTTTCTTCTTGAAGAGTGCATGAGAAAGAAAGGAAGAAAGAAAGAAAGAAAGAAAGAAAGAAAAAAAGAAAGAAAGAAAGAAGCAGAGAGCCATAGTGGAGGGAGTGTGAAAGAGGGTGGAGGGGATGGTTTTGTACAGCCAGTTCAAGGTTTCCAGAAGCAGGCACAGCCAACAACGATGTCTCCTAGCCTGGCCTGAGTGCTGCTGGTGCTACCAAGGGAGGGGAAAGGCATGCTTGTCGCTCTACATGTTATGTATTTTTTCCCCAAAAATCACACCTAAACTACAGATTATTTGCTCTCACACATTCAACTTATTTGTTGCGTGAAGAGACCACACTTTACAGTATGAAAGAATACTCAGAGGGACATATGCTGTCGAAAAATACCCCACTATCGAAATGTTTACACCTAATGTTCATGGTTTTTGTTGTCTGTTTTCTGGCATTGACATAAATTCAGTAGTACAGACAGACATGGAGAAAAATAGAAAGGTCTCTGAAAGAATGGTCACTTCATTAAAATGCCTCATTGGTGCCTCTATTACTGAAATTAGGTCTTACACTTAGCTGCAGTCTATGCTATTGCACCACTGCCCCAATACAGATATAAATATGCCCCCACTCCCTCTTGATGTAAAGATATAATTAAGAATTATTAATGTCATATGCCTTGAAATTTCCTTTACAGTGTCTACATGTGCTTCCTAAAGTGATTCAATACCTTTATTCTCATTTTACAAATTAAGTATTACATAATTTTCGTTGTGCCTGTAACTTGAACAGTGACAATAAAAGAATGATCCTTAACCAAGTCAGGATGGTGGCCAGCAGCAGACTGCAGCTGAGCGGTGTTACCAGACAGTTTAACATTAGAATTCTTCTACAAGTCTGTGAGAGAAGGACCTGACCACAGCAGGTGAGATAGTTATCCAGAGTGGCACTCTTCACCCATGCCTAAGGAGAGCTGTTGGGCATGCTGGTTTAAGTGGATGGCTCAGTGTGTTTTGAGGGTAAAAGGCTGTGATAGGGCACATCTGATAGAAATAGGTGAAAGAGGACGCAGTTAGTGAGAAACCCAAAGAGAATTATCACCTGTATCTGCAGTTTCGCTCAGCTCTGTGGAGCTTTACGCCATCTTTAAGATCATTGTTTTTGTGTCCTGCTGGCAACTTAAATGTTTTGCTTCACTCTCACTGCTCTCATAGTGTTGCTGTCGGCTGTTTTAAGCTCTAGTTCTTCATGTCATCTTAAAAAGTGGTAATATGTCAGGGTTGTATTTACTGTGTGTTTCCCGTTGCCCCCAAGTGGCCAAAAAATGTTATTACTGGTTTAGGTGAAACTTAGAAGATGAAAAAATAGCAGTAACCTAATTTTAACTGCTGTTAGCGAAGTCTACTGTTGAAAGTCTGAACTTGTAACCCTGCACATTTAAAGTAGAATGAACACAATCCATAACAATAGTGATCTGGGCTACTTGAGCTAATACTGACGAGACTGAGCAAATCTGGTAACCTGACAGCAACATACCACCACTTAAACAGAGATCACTGCAAACATTTGTTTTTGTTAAACACATGATTTTTCAATAGGCGAATCCTATCAACAATTATATTAATTATGAATTGGACGTAATCTCAAGAAGGAATGGAACTATAGGGTCTTAAATACATTGGAAAAATTGATTTTGCATCACCTAACCCAATAAATAGTTGTTCATTTTTTGTCTCAAGTCAAACCAAAAGCCGTCGGTGACACCAGCAAACCTAGCAGAGCCCCGAGGGATGGGTGTGAAGAGCCCCGCTCTGGAATCTTGTGGGTTGGTAGGTGGTCTAGTGGAGTGGAATTTACAATCAGAAGCAGCAGAGTGACATGGGGGGGAGAAGGGGGGGGTCATGCGGTTTCTGCTAATTTTACTCCTCCAAACTACAGG